GCTTATACTAAGTTCTATTTAGAACGCGCTATATAGCAATTCTAATCCGAAACGCCTATACTAAGTCTTATCCGAAACGCGTAGAGTAGATACTATCCGGAACGCGTATAGTAAGTCTAATTCGGAACGCTAATAGCAGGTACTACTAAGAACGCCTATAGCAAGCAGGACTATCTAAAATACCTATAGTAAGTGCTATTTAGAATACCTATAGCAAGTTATATCCGAAACACCTATAGAAAATACTACTAAAGACGCCTATAGCGAGTACTCTATAGAATACCTATAGCGAGTAGTACTATATAGAACGCGTAGGACAAGCCTTATTTTAAACGCTTAGTATAGTTGGTCCGATATAAACCGGAAGGCGTATACTATACGCAAGTCTAATCCGAAACGCTTATAGAAAGTCTTATCCGGAATGTATAAAGTAAGACTAAGTCTAATCCGAAACTAAATACTTATACTAAGCACTATCCGGAAGGCCTATAGCGAGTAGTACTATCCGGAACGCTTATAGCAAATACTATCTAAAACGCCTATAGTTAAATAGCATTCGAACTATTTATAGCGAATACCCTATAGGGCCTATATAACGCCTACTACGAGTACTCTATAGAATATCTATAGCGAGTAGTACTATCCGGAACGCGTAGGATAAGCTAACTATTATCTATAACGCCTATAATAGGTCTAATTTAGAACGCTTACAATACTAAGTACTATTAAGAAGGCGTATAGTAAGTCTAATCCGGAGCGCTACCTGTTAGTACTACTATCTATAACGCCTATACTAAGTTTTATTTAGAACGCGCTATATAGTAATTCTAATCCGAAACGCTTATACTAAGTCTTATCCGGAACGCGTAGAGTAAGTACTATCCGGAACGCGTATAGTAGGTCTAATTTAGAACGGTAATAGTAAGTACTATTACGAACGCTTATAGTAAGTAGTACTTTCTAAAATACCTATAGTAAGTACTATTTATAATACTTAGAGCAAGTTATATCCGAAACGCTTATAGTGAATACTACTAAAAACGCCTATAGCGAGTAGTAATACTCGAAACGCCTATAGCGGTAACTATCTAAGATATCTATAGCGAGTAGTACTATCCGGAACGCGTAGGACAAGCCTTATTTTAAACGCTTAGTATAGTTCGTCCTATATAAACCGGAACGCGTATAGCAAGTCTAATAATCTAATCCGAAACGCCTACAGAAAGTCTTGTCCGGAATATATAAAGTAAGTCTAAGTCCAATCTAAGACTAAGTACTTATACTAAGTACTACCCGGAAGGCCTATAGCGAGTAGTACTATCCGGAACGCTTATAGCAAATACTATCTAAAACGCCTATAGCAAACAGCATTCGAACTACTTAGAGCGAGTAGCCTATATAGCACCTACTACGAGTACCTTATAAAACGCCTATAGCGAGCACTCTATATAATACGGTATATCTATAGCAGTAGTACTATCCGGAACGCGTAGGACAGGCCTCATTTTAAACGCTTAGTATAGTTAGTTCTATATAAACCGGTACGCGTATAGCAAGTCTAATCCGAAACGCTTATAGAAAGTCTTATCTGAAATGTATAGAGCAAGTCTAACTATCTAAGTCTAATCCGAAACTAAATACTTATATTAAGTACTATCCGGAAGGCTTATAGCGAGTAGTACTATCCGGATTGCGTATAGTAAGTCCAATCCGGAGCGCTAATAGCAAGTACTATTAAGAACGCTTATAGCAAGTAGTACTATTAAATTACCTATAGTAAGTACTATTTAGAATACTTATAGCAAGTTATATCCGAAACGCTTATAGTAAATACTACTAAACCCGATTATAGCGAGTAGTAATATTCGAAACGCTTATAGCGGCAACCGTCTAAGATATCTATAGCGAGTAGTACTATCCGGAATGCCTATAGCAAATACTATCTAAAACGCCTATAGTTTAATAGTATTCGAACTATTTATAGCGAGTACCTTATATAACGCCTACTACGAGTACCCTACAAAACGCCTATAGCGAGTACTCTATAGAATATCTGTAGCGAGTAGCACTATCCGGAAGGCGTAGGATAAGCTAACTATTATCTATAACGCCTATAAAAAGTCTAATTTAGAACGCCTATAATACTAAGTACTATTTAGAACACGAAGGTCTATTTAAAACGCGCTATATAGCAATTCTAATCCGAAATGCCTATACTAAGTCTTATCCGAAACGCGTAGAGTAAGACTATCCGGAACGCTAATAGCAAGTACTACTAAGAACGCTTATAGCAAGTAGGACTATCTAAAGTACCTATAGCAAGTGCTATTTAGAATACGTATAGCAAGTCTAATCCGAAACGCCTATAGCAAATACTACTAAAAGCGCTTATAGCGAGTAGTAATATTCGAAACGCTTGTAGCGGTAACTATATCATCCGAGATATCTATAGCAAGTAGTACTATCCGGAACGCTTATAGCAAACACTATCTAAAACGCCTATAGCAAACAGTATTTTAACTACCTATAGCGAGTACCCTATATAACGCCTGCTACGAGTACCTTAGAGAACGCCTATAGCGAGCACTCTATAGAATACCTATAGCAAGTAGTACTGTCCGGAACGCGTAGGACAAGCCTTATTTTAAACGCTTAGTATAGTTAGTCCGATATAAACCGGAACGCGTATAGCAAGTCTAATCCGAAGTACTGCTAAGAACGCTTATAGCAAGTAGTACTATCTAAAATACCTATAGTAAGTACTGTTTAGAATACTAATAGCAAGTTATATCGGAAGCGCTTATAGTAAATACTACTAAAAACGCTTATAGCGAGTAGTAACATTCGAAACGCTTATAGCGGTAACTATTTAAGATATCTATAGCGAGCAGTACTATCCGGATCGCCTATAGTAAAGACTATCTAAAACGCCTAAAGCTAAACAGTATTCGAACTACCTATAGCGAGTACCCTATATAACGCCTACTACGAGTACTCTATAAATATAGGAATTTCAATTTAGAACACTTATAATCCTAAGTACTATTTGGAACGTATATAGTAAGTCTAATCCGGAGCGCTAACAGTTAGTACTACTATCTATAGCGCCTATACTAAGTTTTATTTAAAACGCGCTATATAGTAATTCTAATCCGGAACGCTTCTACTAAGTCTAATCCGGAACGCGTAGCGTAAGCACTATCCGGAACGTATATAGCAAGTCTAATTCGCAACGGTAATAGCAAGTACTATTAAAATTTAAGCACGCTTATAGCAAGCGGTACTACCTAAAGTGCCTATAGTAAGTACTATTTAGAATACTTATAGCAAGAAGTACTATATTATATCCGAAACGCTTATAGTAAATACTATTTCAAACGCCTATAGGAAATAGTATTCGAACTACCTATAGTAAGTACCCTATATAACGCCTACTACGAGTATCCTATAGGGCGCCTATAGCGAGTGCTCTATAGAATATCTATAGCGAGTAGTACTATCCGGAACGCGTAGGACAAGCCTTATTTTATACGCTTAGTACAGTATAAACCGGAAGGCGTATAGCAAGTCTAATCCGAAACGCTTATAGAACGTCTTATCCGGAATGTATAAAGTAAGTCTAAGTCTAATCCGAAACTAAATACTTATACGAAGCACTATCCGGAAGGCCTATAGCGAGTAGTACTATCCGGAACGCTTATAGCAAATACTATCTAAAACGCCTATAGTTAAATAGCATTCGAACTATCTATAGCGAGTACCCTATATAACGCCTATAGCGAGTACTCTATAGAATATCTATAGCGAGTAGTACTATCCGGAACGCGTAGGATAAGCTAACTATTATCTATAACGCCTATAATAGGTCTAATTTAGAACGCTTATAATACTAAGTACTATTTAGAACGCGTATAGTAAGTCTAATAACTCTAATCCGGAGCGCTAACAGTTAGTACTACTATCTATAACGCCTATACTAAGTTTTATTTAGAACGCGCTATATAGCAATTCTAATCCGAAACGCTTATACTAAGTCTTATCCGGAACGCGTAGAGGAAGTCTATCCGGAACGCAAATAGCAAGTACTATTAGGAACGCTTATAGCAAGTAGGACTATCTAAAATACCTATAGTAAGTCCTATTTAGACTACTTATAGC